TAGTGGAAGGTGCCCCTGCCCATGGCAGGGGGGTTGGAACTGGATGATCTTTAAGGTCCTTCCCAACCCAAACCATTCTGTGACTCTATGATTTGGTCGTTCTGAATAAACCTGGTTAACATGCAGGATGCCAGCAACACCAAGGTGTGCGGATTTCAACTGGTCCCAGTCAGCCGGATAAATGGGGAGGGACGGCTGCTGGTGAAGCAGGCAGGAACCCAGCTTCCCCGCTCCTCTGCTGCTCCCTGCAGAGCCCCTCTGCACCGGTACCGCTCCTCACAGCTCCGGTTACAATGGGGGAGAAGAGTTCTCTGTGCCTTTCACCCGCAGCAGCTCTGCTCGGAGAAATTCCACATTTCTCAGGGTGGGTAAAGCCAGGCAGCCCAGTTCCAGCCGCATGCCTGTACCACCTCTGGGCAGTAAAGAGCTCCCCTGTCACTTTACCTGCAGTGCAAGCAAATCAAGGCTAAACCACCGCACTGCGTTGTCACTTTTAGTCCAGCAGCGTCCGGTGAGAGGCCCCAGCTTATGCACAAAGTTAAATGACCACGAGCATAAAACCTTTTCCGTAAAGATTTTGGGTTGGAACCGCTATTACACGGCCTCGATCAAGGTCTGTTCAGGGCCTCCTGTATGAAGGGCCATTTAGGAGCAGATGTCCTACAACCCCTCGGTGCTGTACGGCAGCCAGTCTTCCAGGGATGGCTGAAAGCGGGAAGCTAAACGAATTACCTGTCTGTCATCAGCGGGAGAGATGAATGGGCTCTGCCATCTGGAATCGCCTCCTCCGCAGTGCTGACCGAACATCTGATCTCTTCCTCTACCACCTGGTGTTTAGGAAAGAACTCTGCGTGCTCATGCATCTTTCCGTTGTGCATTTCTGAGGTTCGCTTTGGCGGTCTGGGAGGTGGGGGGGTGTGCTCAGGCGGCGGGTCCAGGTCTTCGTTGGAGAGCTCTTTCCACTGTTCCTTCAGGGGAGGAAAAGACCTATTAAGCTCTTCTCTGATTTATGTAAGCTGCTATACTTTTCAGCTTTAACAGGGCGGGGTCTTTACCTTTCCATTTATTCTTAGTATGGCTGTTCATTTGCACGGAAAAAAGGAGAAAAACCCCCCAAAACGCTAGAATTCCAAGCCTAAGCTACACCCAACGAACAGAAGACATCAGCTATAAATGCAAGAAATTGTGATCTACTTCTGGACAATTTTACCAGCACAAAATAGAACCCGCGTTGCTAGAGTTCTGCTTACCATAAACAAAATTCTGGTGTGTTAGAAAATTTTGGTTACCTAAACCAAAAGACAAGGCCGATGCAGCTGGTCTACCCCCCTGCTGCAGCGCTGAAAGTCCGCAAGGCCGCGTGGTAGGCTACAGGTACTTTTGGAGGATCCTTAAATCAACACTTTACAACCCGTCACAACCTTAATGTTGTACTTAAGTACCCCGTAACACAAGAATTCACTGAAGCAAGCATGAAATGTGACGTGTCGTCCCACGCATCTGCTACGGCGAAGGCGGAGCTGCAGGACACCGCGGGAGGCTGCGCCGCCAGCCCTACTCACCTGCACTGAGGCATCTCCCATAATGAATTTTGCCCCTTCAACGACAGCTAAGTAGGAGAAACGCAGCTGATCTGCCGTCTGTATAAGTCCCATTCTGTACTTCCTCATTTCTAGGAGAACTTGTTTAACATCCACAGAAGAAGGATCTTTCCGTTTGTCCATCTGAAAATAAAAATTGGAAACACAATCTCTGCTGAGATTCACTACAAGGACTCAGTCCATAGCAGGGCCTTCACACAACCCTCCGTTTTACAGCCCTGATGAAGAACCGCTACCAGCAGCTGTTCCCCAGGTCTCTAGAAAGGCAGAGAGGTGAAAACACACTGGGCTTCCAGAATGCTGAACGTCTTTCCCTTTTGTGTCTTTGTTTTGAAGTTGTAACTAGGGGAAAAACCCCAACCCAGGGACATTTTAGCCTAGACCTGACCTGTGTGTATCAGTGTCTCTCACACAGAGACAGAATAAAGCCAAAGGAACTCCAGCTTATCTTAAAGTCAGGACAAGTTGACTCTAAAAGGAAGCCCGTTACGTTTATTTTGCGTTGTTCTGGGATATTTCCCACTCTTACTTAGCAGACAACCAGTGGTGGTTTTCCTTAACCAGGGCAAAGCCTACCTTGGCAATCACTAGAGACTTCTCTTCCCCAGACTCAAAACAGCCAGTTAAGAATGGGATCTGCCTCAGCACACACCCCAAAGGCAGAACCCGAGTCAGATAATGGGAAACAGCACGCGACAACACTTCACAGAACATACCGCAGCGCTCAAAGCCTGCAATGAACCATCCCTCAAAGTACCTCCACAGAGGCAGCGATCGTCGACAGTAAGTAGTTCTTACCAGCAGGAGACACGTGTCAACCAAACAAAAAGTTCCTGACCGCCCAATTCCCGCACTGCAGTGCACCACGACGGGTCCGTGCTCCGGGTTAAGTGAGCCAGACTCTCTCACTTTGAACAGGAAATTGAGGAACGAGGCAGGTGACTCCGGGACGCCAAAGTCCGGCCACGTAGTATAATGAAAGTGCAGAATCTCTCTAGTTTCCTGTGTCTGTAAAAACAGCATTTAGGAAGCCTTTCAGCTTGGGTACATGAGTCAGAAGTATTCAAAGCACAGTTGCTTACAACAGTGTTCTCACCAGCAAACCCAATTCCACGTTCATTTTCACTGATGTGTTCAGACATCCAGCTTTAGGCATCAGACATTTTACCTTTAGGTAACTTCAATTTGTGCCTTTGAAAAAATGCCAGCCTCTTCCTTTGAAAATAACTGACTTGCACGGAATGGAGGCATGGCCTGCCCAGCTTTGTGGCCTACTCAGACTACGCTGCTTCCAAAGCATCTTTAGAACAGCTGACAAATTCAAATGACAAAGTACCACCAGTCTGAGGGAGCTCCCAGAGCTGCACAGCTAAGAAACTAATCACACGTAGTTCTCTCTTGTGAAGGTCTCCCTTTTGAGCAAAGGTAGGTTAATTATCTGTAACATGGCTTAGTTTTTTTCAGTACAGTTCAAATGCTTGTATCGCCACAAGACAGCTGCACTGCTGCCTCCTGATTTCTAACGACAGTATCACAGAATCCCAGAATGGTTTGGGTTGGAAGGGACCTTAAAGACCATCCAGTTCCAACCCCCCTGCCATGGGCAGGGACACCTTCCACTAGAGCAGGTTGCTCCAAGCCTTATCCAGCCTGGCCTTGGACACTTCCAGGGATGGGGCATCCACAGCTTCTCTGGGCAACCTGTTCCAGTGCCTCCCCACCCTCTCCGGGAAGAACTTCTTCCTGCTATCTAATCTAAACCTCCCCGCTTTTCTCGCAGTTTCTCGCAGCGAAGCACCCCAAGCCACAGAAGCCCTCTACATGCCATGCAGACAAACCCCTTACACCACCACAGCTGCTCCTTTACAGCTTGGTTCCCAACCTGAAGACTTTCTTCCAGACTACTAAACCACTGGTGCTCACAGCCTCCCAGAATACTGAGCTGCAACCATCAAACGTGCCTCCGGCAGACGTGACAGTTCATACACGACACTGACCGCATCAACTGAATTCTCACTCAGGCATAATTCAGTCAAATTGGCATCTGCTGCTTCACGTTTCCTGGCAGGACGAAGCGTGCAAGATGCTCAGATGAGCACAGGAGTAACTGCGTGTTCACGCAGCGAGCAGTGCCAGGACAGACCTCAGGCCAGCACACCACAACGTACACACCCAGCTTGGCACCCTCGAGGGCCTCGGACACCATCTTCAGTGACAGCCAGTGGTGCCCTTCCGCAGCCAGTCCCCCCACGGAGCTATAGGTCAGCTCCCGCTGCTCTAAGCAGGGCAGTGGAGGAGAGGAGGGAGGAGGAAGGCTGGGAAATGGCACGTACACTTTTCGTTTGGCATTGGGCATTCTATGGCTGTGCAAAAGGAAAAAGGAAAGAAAAAAGAAGAGTTCTTTGTCCCAAAGCTAGTGGTCTGATCCTCGTGCTGAGCTCCATGCAGCTCACTGCAGGACCAGGGCTAAACCAGTTCCTGCTTTCTGATGCTGGCATCAACAAACACAAAACTTGAAGATTTAAGCCAAAACCTAAAAATCAGTCTTTGAAGCAGACACAGGCAAGCAGGTAGCTTAAATGACAGGAAGAGCACTTATTTCAGCTATAACACCAAAGCACTAGAACATCTGCCAAGTGATTTTATAGAGGGTTCTCTGAAAGGCAGTGACAAACCAACCTGCTCACCCAGTTACTGCCGAGACATGAAACCCACCGTAGCTTCCCCAGCTATGTTTCATAAATATGTAAGAGTTTCATTTCCACAACACACAAACCAGAGGCTGAAGACCAATCTCCTGCAGAGCCACCAATTCCCGAACAAAATCCGCTATAATTGGTGACCATCTTTTCAAGGCCTTGTCGATGAGGAAGCAAATCTCACCTCAGAGATGGAAGAACCTGAGTTTCTGTACTTACGGTAAGGTTTTCCAACTCTAGCTGTCGTACTGTGTAGTATGACTTTATATCTTCAGATATCAGTGTTAGTTTCAAGTTTGTATCTTCAAAAAACATTTCTTTCTCCTCCTTCCGTGGCCAGTACTGTGCACACTTTACCTAAAAACACACAGGAGACGTCGGTGCCATTTATGTTTGTGTAAAAGGCATGGAACAAGCATCCTTAAATACAATGTTTTCTTATAAAACGATTTCTTCTTGTGCTTTTATTGTAAGGAGGACCAATTCTAGCATGAAGAGTATCAGCCTTCCTTTATGTTGCAGAACCACATCTTCACTGAATCTTCCGTACGAGTCAAATTACTCTGACCATGAGTGAACTCCTGAAAATACCCAAGGATTGAGGACAGTTTTGTTTGGGCAGAGCTGTCTTTCTTCCATGCGTAAGCCAAAAGAGTGCTATGGAATCTAACCAAAATCGCCAAAGCCAGTATTTATTTTAACTTGTATTGAAACAAACAAAAACTCTAGTAACTCTAAGTACAAAAGCTCTCACAACACTCTGCCAAGATCTGCATTTTAGTCTGCATTTTATTTATTATCCTCATGTCAAATATTTAAATTTCAAAAGAAGAGATGGTAACAAGAGCAGGACGTACTGTGAGAAAGTACTATGAACCCCACGAATAAGCTACAGGGAGAACTACAGCACTGCTAACTTGCAAGTGTAACATCAGACGAGATTTTGGGTTACTGTTCGCTCACCGCACAAATAAAACAGCAGTGAGATCATTTCGATTTTCTACAGCACAGTTTCGAAGTAAAGTGCCAAACAAAAAAACCCTGCATTCAGCAAACATTCCCATTACCTAATTCTGACTGAATTTCAATTTTCTCAGTAGTTTCCCGGAGAGCTCAGTTCTGCAAAAACTGCTGCATGCTGGACCTCGAACGAGTCCACCGAACAGAAAAGCAGTGTATTTTGCAGAGTGCGGGAAAAAACTGGAACTAAAGAAACTCATCAGCAACACAACTAGGAATGTCTGCAACCAAGTTTCTGACAGTTAAATTAAGGGTGTTGTGACTGGGAGGACTGGCCTGCTACTTCTGCCACTGAGCACTGCTCCACTGAGATGGGGTTGTGACCCAGAACAATGAAGAGAGAAGAGCATTTTCAAGTCCAGGATGATTTCTGACAGCATCTTAATAAATAAGAAAACCTTAAGTATTTTAATCGTTGGTAGAGTAACACAGTTCTGCCCAGACCAGCCCTGGTTTTCACTGAGAACACACTCTCTAGTTTATCGGGGTGTGGAACGCAGTTACAATTCTCTGCCTTTTGTTCTTTGTGCATTAACGTTAAAGAGACAGCAACCGCCTTCATGTCCAGCTTCCTCAGCAAATGTGTCTGCACACAGGATTCTGCCGTGCTCCACTGCAGGTCTCCCACTGCTGTTTGCCGAGAAGCACAAGCAGCCTGCCCTAAGGCATCACCATCACTCGTCTTCTTCCAAACTATCGGCAGTGCAGAGAGAGAGCGGGAATGGTTGGGAAGGAAGACACGATTGAAAAATATGGTTACTGCGTCTCTTTTGAAGATTAAATTTCATTTGCACTACAAAAAAGGCAAAACACTCAGAAATCAACTCTGCAGTTCATGAAAACACAACCTACTGCACAAGAATTTTTCTGGTTATTGGAATTCTTTCCCGATTATGCAGAAGCAGGTACCACCCAGTTATCACTGGTGGATACCCAACGCACCCGCTACTCCTCCTCCAAAGCGTCTTTGCACTGACTGTGCTGTAACATACACCTGAAATCGTGCATTACTACCACTCTGTGAAATTGCTTTTGTCTCAAATTTGCACAGCCACCAAGTCCCCTTTAGGACAGCAGCTGTGACATGAGCAGATGGGCAGAACCCTGCCCCACAGATGAGCACCATGCCTGCTGGTTTCTCTCCACCATCAGAAGGGCTGGGGCGTCTCCTTTGGAAGACAGCAGCTACTGCGTGTGCCAGAAGAAGCAAACCTTTTCATCTCTCAGAAGGTAAACTACTTAAAATAACCCCAGCTGTTTGTTCATCTGTTGTTTCCCTTCAACTTCTGCCTGTCTTGTCTCACCTAAACTTCCTAAAAGGTCTGGACAGAACTTCACCCACCGCACTTGGCCTACCAAGTAAAGCACTGACAAAACAGGCGGTTGGTTACCCATCACCCAGCAGTTCACTGCTTAAGCCAGATACCAGGAGAAGCACCTTCACCTGTACCCCCATCCTCCTCAGGCCTCTTTTGTAAAACAGTGATACTGGTGGAGAAACAGTATGTCCAGTGATACAGGTAATGACCAGAGCTCTTATTGCATGACGGGAACTTGGAGCCAAAGTGCCTCTACAGCTACTTTAAAAACCATTTCATAAAGCTTGTGAACACACCTGGTGCAAACGAGAGGTGCAACGTGTGTACGCTGAGAAGGACCACATTCACATACCCAGCCGAGCAGTAGAGACCAAACTCTCACTTGCATGGGGAACCGTACTGTGTTCAGGCCCTATTTCAGCCGAAGTCAGAAGAAATTCAGACCTACAAACTGAGTAATTTTCTGACTGCCCTAAGATCAGTTCACAGGGCATTCAATTCTAGGCATCATTTCTTAGATGGAACTACTGACGGTCGTCATCTCTCCACCTCCCTTTGGGTTGGGTTTCTCTGTGTGTTTTAAAGAAGAACCATAAACACGCAGTGAACACAGAGCTAGAACGGCGTTAAGTACTTACGGATCCCTTTTCCATCACTCTGTTCAACATGACAACACCACGGCTTTTCTGTTCCCAAACCATCTCCCAGAAGTGACCACAGGTATTTGGCAAAGGTCCCTGCAGAGACAGAATCCCCAGAAATAAGCATTATTTTCTGTTAATGTCAGTGCAGCGTTCCCCAAAGTTACTGCACTAGGCAATACATTTCGACAAGTAACAACCAACTACTCATTTCAAACTAAAAAAAAAAGCAGCAATACAGCTTTAAGTTCCATTTCCCCAGTATGAATTTATCCATGAAATACGGTTCATCTTTTCCCCCTGTGCATAACGGGAAGAGAGAAGCAATCTCGTTTGCGAGAAGAGAACTGGGAGTGAAAAATGCTGAGAATTTTCTTAGGAAACGTGTACATAAAATGGGGAAATAAAACCTCATTGACTAACTAAGAGCAGAATTAAAGTTTGTGTTAAACTACTCTGTGATACATCATTATTATTCATAATACTTCAAAGTTACTAGACTGAGTGGACAAACATTCAAAAGACTGAAACAATGCCAGATCAGCAACAAATTACATGTTTTTCCTGAATCTTCACGGATCTGCTTTGGGACTGAGCAAAATGCTAACTCCCTTTACAGACTATCTACTCACAAAGTAGACTTCCTTACACCTTTTTGTTTGTGCTACATTTCTTTGCTATTTTCTACTCCAAAACCTTTGCTCTGAATTTTGGGCCACACAAACCAGCATCACCGCCTCTCCTGTTTGCTATCCATCACCTGGCTCAAAGAAAACAGCAGGCCAGGGTCCTCAGAAAGAACGACTGGGTTTAAATAGAGCCATTCAAATCCCTTAGATCCTGGATCAGAAAAGGTAACTAGTCCCAGCTGGCTGCACATCCGACTACTCCACACACAGGTCTATCAGTTCATCCTCCCCTGCCCTGAGTAATAGGAGTAAGAGCTGTGTGCGCAGAATCACTTTCATATTGAACACTACGGGTCCTCTTCTTCCTTAGAAGATTTATCTTTATTCTCTAGAAACAGGAAGGAAGAGCTGCCGCTTGAAAATATTAATCCCAGTCTACCTTTATCTAAAGTGTGGGAGGAAGGGGTAAAAAAAAAAAAAAAAAAGGTTAAGATTAGAGACCAGCAGAGTCTCCAGAGAACTGAACATTTAGGACAAACAAGAATTCTGGCACAGTTTCTAGCTCTCAGAATAAGACAACAGGGTAACCGGGTATTTTTTAATTTGTTATACAGATAGGTGTGGAATTCATGGATTCAGAGAAAAACAGCCGCTTCCCCCCTGCGCCCCATATTCCCATCACTGGAGTCTGCACTCAGCTTTCCTCTCCTGCATTAAAGGTAGAAGCATCAGCATCCCCCAGCTGAGACCTTTTGCAAGCCGGGTGATTAGGAGGGACCTTGGTAAATACCACAGCCACATCACGTTCAGAAGGACGTTTAACAGGGATGCGCGGTGGGGCACACTGCTTTTGGGACACAGAAGGTCGGGTGTAAGAAATCACCTAAAATAGTTTAGTTAATCTCTACGCCACTCAACACTAATACCCGTTATATTTAAGGTATGTTAGTTCAAATAGGTTTTGAACATCTTGAGGTTCATACATATAGCTCTGTAAATGTGAAGCCACTCCCCCCCACTAAGTGAGGTTCACCTCTGTTCAGAGAATTTATCAGATAACTCAAGTCTGTTGTGGTCTCAAGCCTTTGTGCTGGCCTTCCATGTCGGAGAAGTGCGATTCACTTCAACCACATCTAAATGTTGCTTGTCATAAGCCAACAAGCAGATTTCGAGAGGTACATCAGCTTCCAACGTAGATTGGTCTGAAGTCAGACGTACAAAGAGGACAAAATACTCTAAAAAAAGCCCATCAGTGCTGACAGGAAGCAAGAAGGATGTAGCATTTCTATAAAACTGTGTTACATGTATGTTTATAAACACAGGCAGATGTTTATATTCACTGAACTAGCTTTACAATAAGGAAAACAAACAGAATAGGTTAAAGAAAACCTACAAAAGACAACTCCAACCACCATATGATTTTTATTATTGACTGCCAGCAATTACCTGGGTAAGGATGTAGCTCCTTTGGGCCTCTTCCATTTTTATCAAACTAGCATTGATATAGTCATTGTCACCTTGGTTTAGCTTAATTCGACTGTGATCAACTGCAGCATAATTAGAAAACACTGGTTAATGTATATGCAACACAGCACAATCCATGCACAACCTCATCAGATGTTAGGATCAAAAAAGCGGAGTCGTCTTGGAGAGCAAAGAGTTTAATGGCAGCGCAGAAGTGTTTGCTGGTGCTTGTAACTCCTGGAATACACCACAGGTACTACAAGAAGGGTGCTACAGCAGAGCTATGAACGCAAGTTGCGCTCTGTCTTCCAAGACTATATTGCAAGAATGGAAGTATTTGCATCTGAAGTAATCACAACAGTACTCTGCAGACCAGATCACACTGACCTATTGGTACAGTTACTGAGTTACTGTTTTTAAATAAATCTAATGACACAACTGCTTATCTTCTGCAGCTTAGACGTCTAAACCCAGTTTGTTCAAGGTTGTTAATCGTTTGCCTAAACATACATTGGACAACAGAACAGAGACTTCTTATTCTTTTATAGACATTCAGCTACTGTTCCCAACCCAACCACACCTCAACGTACAGAAAGAATGATTAAAAATCAAGAATTACAGCAAATTTAGTTTCATTGCTCTTCTGTTAGTCTCAGCTTGCTCCATTCAGGATTTAAAAACCAAACAAACAAAACCAAAAAAAACAACAACAAAAAACCACACACGAGTTCCCACATTTTGCAAGAAAGCCAAACAGACTGGAAGCAGTATTATCTAAAGGCAAAAAGGAACTGTCTGTTACTCACAATCCCAGATATTACAACAGCTTAAAGCACACTATGTGCAACATTATTGTTCCTAGTCAATTGCCCCAAAGACTTCAGTAAATTTCATTACTAAGTATAAAGGTTTTCTGCTATACAATAATAAATTTGTTTTGGAACAGAAGAGACATCTGCCCAGTGACAGAGCCTACAGAAACTTTACATTTAGAGCAGGCGGCAGGGCTGCACCCTTGAGGAGGGAATGGGGTCCCAGAACAGGCGCTGACATGTAGTGCAGGGAAGGCAGTTCAGTGAACCAGCCATGCAATTTCTTTAGCATCTGACACATGAAGTGCCATTTGCCAACCATTTAACTACAGTCCTGTACTTCTCTGCACTGTGGGTGTTTCTGTTTTCTCTCCTGCACCCCAAAAGTACAGCACACCAGACACAGGCAAGTCTGAATGTTACCGTCTTGGTATGTGGGATCGTGGAAGGAAAGGCAGGCTCCAACACCAAGCCGAGCTGTGCCTTGTACAGGACATGGTCAAAGACGCACTTCCCACCGGAATATCTAATGACAATCCTTTCAGGAGCACAGGTCTCACACCAGTATGACCACCTTTCCAACCAGTTTATTGGCTGAGTCTTATTCCTAGTAGTCACATGTTCCCATCTCCCAGCAGGGGCAGTTCTGCTGTACTACTAGGAGGATGCTCTGCTAAGTACATGGCGATAGAAAGGACACCTGCAATTCTACTAATGCTACTTAGAAGGTGTCCCTGCCCTTGGCAGGGGGTTGGAACTAGATGATCTTTAAGGTCCCTTCCAACCCAAACCATGCTGTGAAGATGAAGCTACTTCAGCCACTATTCTTCTCTAGCCTAAGCTTTCAAAGGTAAAGCAAGTTCCTTTCTTCAGATTTCTGCCCACAAATAGGGAATCTACTGGCTGCTCCAGCGTATCCCTAGGGATATAATGCATCCTGTGACACCTCTCTCAGAAATAAATACATTAACAAAAGGAATTGTCTTGGATGCACACCCATCTAACAGAAACCTCGTTTGTAGGAAGAGCATCTAGCTGTCAGAAGAAGTCATTAGAGGTCAACAGCCCGTTACAAACAATGGAAAAGAAAGTGTACTTACAGGGGCTGACATCTCTGTACCTATTTCTGTTTTTGTTTCTGGGATGTTTGGCCACTTTGCATGGAAAATCACTGGCTTCATGCCTGATGTCCTGAAACAAAAAAAGTAAAGTTTTAGATACGAAACCATCTAATACCATCATACCATTAGCTATTTTAAGACAAATACCCATTTGACTGCACATCTTCGCATGTGGGAGTACTGGAGAGAAATCTGTTCGGGCTTCAACTTCAGAACTGAGTTTAAACGTACCACAATACAACACTAACATTATTTGTGTGTTAAAATATTATTAGCTTGCATAATGAAGTAGCAGAACATTTACCAGACGTGACGCCTTTACACTCCAGATGGAGCAGGGTCTCTGCCCCAAGGCACTTTCACATAAGCTGCTCCAAGCAATAGTTTCCAGTACCAGTGAAGCTACCAGCTGAACTCCTGACCCAGCAGCCGTTAGAAAGTGTTCACTGTGGTAGAAAAAAACCCTTGTTTACCTCCCTTGGCATCAAACACACACATGGTGCGGTGACGTGTCTAAGATCAGTTACATCTTTGTCCTGAGTTATCAGCAAGATGTTAACAAAGGTGCAAATGGCAAGAGTTAGTCGTATCCAAGTCACACAGTCAACTAAAACATATATATCATCTCAAGCATAAAATTAGGGGTTTTTCAGATGCATATAATGGCTCAGCTGAGACAATTTCAAATCTTGCAATAAAAAGAACTCTGCTGTCCTTGGACACCAGTCCCAATTTGGAGACACAGAACTTCAGGTTGTAAATAAATACTGCACAAATATGCAATTCCTAAAAATTACAGTACTTCAGGGCAAAGCTGTTAGATTCCACCAAAATTAATGAAAACTGAAGAAGTAGATTTACTGCAGAACTGATATTTCAAAAGCGTAATTAAGTCTAAGGAAGCCCAAGACAGACACTGCGCACATACATGAAATGATCAAACGAACCTAAAAATAAACCATCATTAAAAACAAATTATTGAGCTAATTTCATCCCCTTCCACTGGATGAAATTAATTTCGTTAAATACAGCTGACCAAATGAGGCAGAGTTTAATATTAAAGCTATCTGTCCAGCTACAGATACATTTGAGCATGGTGTTGATCCACATCCAGTGCAACCAGGTAACAGGGTTCTGCACACACGAAGTCAGTGCATGGGGAGGACACACACATCGCATGCACAGAAAGGCTGGGCACTCCTCTATTAATAGTTCCAAATTAGCTCAGGCCCTGGTTCCAACAGCGGTAGCTTTCCAATCTCAGAGCAAGAGGATTTTATACCAGCTCAAAAATCTAATCCCTAAAATGCCAGCCAAACTGAACGGGTTTTCTGTTCTTCTCAGTTTGGCATAAAGAACCATGTACAGTGATGAAGATTATTATTTTTTTAAGTGGGTTATTTACTGCAGCTTATTCCTTGTTCATCTGTTTCTACCCTATTATTCAGATATGTATCAATTTACAGAGTGCTCCATGTCAAGGGAAGAGTTCTATTTTACATATACCTGCTCAAAATTAGTACAGTATTCTGAAATGGCTCCTCACTGAAATAAGCCCTGACATCAGCTGCTATCTTTTTATAACTTAACACATGGCTGCCAGTATTTCTGCTTATGAAGAATGCAGTCTGGAGAATATGATCTTGACTGCCACAGTCTAATAACTCAAACATGAGGCAGCTAAAATGGATGTTTTCATAAATTCATCTCTAACACTAGGTTGGTGACTTTGTATTCTGCAGGGGTTTATTTGTCTTCTGCACTGACTGTACAGGATTAATAAGAGACAAAGACAGGGAACTAGGAAAAAATGGTTTTCTAGATCTCTAACCACACTTCCCACAGAACCTACATGTTATTTTTTTTAAAGCGTCAAAAAAACCCCAACCCAACACAACCACCCCATGGCTTAGGATTCATACTAAAAACCAAAAAAGAGCAGCAAAATGCAAACCAAACCTGAACACCATTAGGCATTTTTGCTGTAACTATTGGGTTAAATTAGTGGCAGCACTGATCTACACTGTTTGCTTCCACAGCATTGTAACACATTTGAAAAGAACTGTCCCCTCTTTTAAAAAAGGACAGGGATGAAACGCTTCATTACAGAAATGGAATGATACACAGGTATTCTGGGATGAAACGCTTCATTACAGAAATAGAATACCTGTGTATCATTCCAATACAAAAATATTATACTTAGGCATACATGTGTGTGCACATACACACTACTCCCAGCCTCAGGGAGTTCCACAGATTCAAATACCAACATCACACATTTAAGGATCCGAAACTGGCACTTTATTGTTCAGGGAATAGAGAGTTGGCTATCACCTCACTACCAAATATTAGATCTTTTTAAAGATGCTATGATGCCTAAGGGTACTGAAAGACTAAGGGAGCTCTAGGAGATGCGTAACTCCCAAAGGCACAGAGAAAATGAAAAGCAAGAAGTTGCTCATGTGCTTTCCAGAAACCCAGACAATTTCAAAAATGTAATATATTTCAGAAGCAGAAAAAATTGAGGTGGGGTGGTAATAAAGAGCGACTTAGATATGGAAACAGACAAGATGCTGCCTCGTATGAAAATGCAACTAGTGGATAGCACTACATTTCCGAACCTACTGAACACCAATAAACCAGAAACTCCTGGAGGGCACGCATGCCTGGACCTCAGTAATCAAATCCATGCCTGAAAAGATTGGGGCACACTCTCCTCAGCAATATGGGATAAAAGTGATTCGGGGGTTTGGTTGGCTTTTTCTTTTTTTTTTTTTGGTCTCCATAGCAGTTGCTAGAACATCTGAAGCGACCACAATAAAAATTAACAAATCCAAGATCCCTCAGAGGATATGAAGCTGACTGCAGTGCAAATCAGATGGCCTCCAGCACAGAAAGTTACTGGAGGGAAACAATCTAGTGAGAAGTTACATAAAATGGACATGTTATAGACGTCCTTGCACACTCCTCAAAATCTTGTGTCACTGGTTACTGCAGGAGTCTCCTAACTACTGATGCTCAAGGTGTCAGGGCTGTTTCAGAGTATGCGGGGAACAGTGCTACCGGATCCCCAGGCTGGGGAAAGTGGGAGCATTCAAAACACGCAATGATTATGCCCTGAGGTACTTGTCACAAGACCTGACGTTACGGGATGGACACAGGGATTGACAGCTTCCTGAATCACGCTCAGCCACACTCCGGAGATCCTGTCATTTAAAAAGGAAGCTCAACATTTCATTTAAAAGTCATGCAATATAAGACTTCACAGAGGAAGGGCTAGAACTGAAGTCAGTTTTCCAAAGTCAAATGCTTCTGGTTTTCAGCATGAGTCATTCCATGCCACTCATCTCCTGGTTTTAAGTCCTGCGCCCTGTGCAAATGCCCCCAAGTTTTTCAGGGGTGGAAAGAGGAAGTCTGCTGAAGCGCTGTTCTTCAAATGGAAAGTTCTTGTCACGGTTAATCTGCAGCGGTGACTGGAATAAGAAGTTCATTAGTGCTTTACAGGAGAAGGTTGCTCTCAGTTGCAAGATTCCACTTGGCCTGACAGCATCACGTTTCTTGCCACAAAGGATGGGCACGGACGCAAGGGCAGATGGCTGTTTTGTGCCGATGAGGGATCAGTCCCGTGAACACAGCCTTATTTTCCAGAGTCCCACAGATGTTCCTCAGGAAGGGGTGCTCACGGTGGCTTTTCAGCCCCTTGTCCCAAAGCCATCTGTACCAGACTATACCCTTCCTCCCTTCCCCCTGCCAGAAACATAACAGCAGTGATTCACTCCGCAGCCCACAGACCTTTCTTTCCATTCCTCCCAAAAAATTACCCTCAATTCAACTTCCTAACCCGCAACTACTGCGGAGTCCTCGGTCTGACAATTCCCCCTTTGCTCAATAAGCATTTTCTGCCAACTTCCCCGCTTGCCTTGGCCGCCGGTACTCTGCCCCACACCACAGATGCCACAGGTAGGCTCTTAGCACAACAGAACATCTGACTGTACCTACCCCTTCTTGTTCAGACACCAACGGGAAATTAAGAAAGAGAAGATACACCCCAAAAATCTTCAAGTATTAGGTAAGACCACCTGAAGAAGTGTTCATTGTAACAGTCATTCAAACACACAGCAATACTGCATGGATGGGCAAGTCAATCGTTCCAGAAGAGAAACTAAATGCCAGGTTTAGGCCTTCATATTTGACAGAAAGGGTCACAGGGAACTTTGCAGCAGGCCTTGATTTGATCCCACTATTTTATTGCACCATACACTCTGGAGAAGCTCAGACTGAGAGATAATGATATACTGTCATTTAACAGGTCTGTTCCTATGGGAAGCAGCGATTGCCAAGATCTTATCATGGGCCACAGAAGTGCACAGTAATCTATCTACTGAGGCAGTCACATGAAGGAAAGCAATTCACCACAAGTATATAGACTTATAAAAAAGTAATTCTAGCTTAAGAGCTTAAAAAAAAAACCCAAAACAACAAACGTTTCCTCTTAAAGCCAGAACTGAAAAAAAAGATGACACCGCTGTAAAAGGTGGAAGAGTCAAAAAAAACTCCCAACCCTTACAGTAAAGCCAACTGAAAGCTGCTGCTTTCTGCGATGTCATTGCAGGCTGATTTCAGAATGGAAATACTCCTGTAATTGTACGATTTGGCAAAGACCTGTACAGAAAACCACAAGAAAAACAGGTAGAACTAAGGGATCCATAATAAACAGCTACTTTACACAAATGGGAAAAGGTCTTCAGATTCAGCGTGTAAGGGAGCAAACTGAGTCACTGAGAAGCAGTGAGCTGACTCCTCAACAAGAGAACCTTGCTAAGATAATAAAGCACATCTAGATCAACTGTTCATTCAACCCACTTCGACAGGGAAGAGTGGATTTCTTATCCTGTATTAAATTTTACATCGGGTATTTGGACAGGGACAAGGAATGAGGATGTAATTTGTAGGTAACCAGAAGGCCATGTAAAGATCAGATGAATGAACAGACAACTGCATCACATAACATTAATCTTAACAACAAGCTGCAGAATTTTAGACAGATAAATGAAATAAATGTAGATTTTAATA